GTTGCCGCTTCTCGTTTCCATTTTTTTGTCCCACTCTCTGACACCAATTTGTTACATCTCTGTTCGTTAGTTAATTTTCCGTATAATTTCTTTCCGAAGAAACTTTAGCGATATAAGTCCTTTCTTAAATAAAACTGGTTTATTCTCTCTGAATACAACTTTGCAATACACTTAATTTCCACAGTCGCGCTATAACAAACGCTATAATTCACAACGAACTTCTCACGTGCTCGCACAACAATACGTCTCTCTCTGTCAATTACACACATTGTTGCCGTCACTTCTTGGCGGTCTTATAAATACAATAATATCGAAATCTAGTAAACGCTCAAGGCTTCATGAACCTTCGAGAATATGACGTGTTACTAGAATCACGTGACCACCGCTGTCGTAACAGCCTCTAAAATATGTTTCGACCTTTACCACGTCATCATCAGGAGTGAACTTGCAAGAAAGAAATGTCATAGTTATTTCTTCTTAGCTGGGTCATGTGACTTGTGTGTAAGTTCACATTTTCCCATAAATCTCAGAGGAGGTCCATCCACACTCTTAGACAGATATTCGCGGACCTTCGTCTGTATTTAATAATTCTTTCTTAAACTATATTATTTCTAATACCCTTTGGTTGAGCTAATGTTACTGTTTTTTCCTATAATACCTTATGTTGTGGTTTTTGTACATGTTCTGCTATGGCTGAGTTTTCAATCCTTTCATTTTTTACACATCCATTATGTTCTGCTAAGCCATATTTTAAATTATTTTTGTCTGTCGAATATAAACACTTCCGCATTTACATTCGATTGATAAATTCCAGCTTTTTCCATTAACAGTTTATTGTCTTTAGTATTATCTAAAATGTTTTTTTCATTATTCATTGGTTTAAATATAGAGCAAAATATTTGTTGTTTTTTAAAAAACTGAATTAACTAAAAGCTAAACTTGGAACATATGGCAACACTAAACATTCCTTTTTCATTTTATCATAACTTGGTTTTAAAGCAATACCTTGATCCATTATTACATCAGTGAATTTCTTAACTGCTCTATATACAATAGTTGGGTTAACTCCTTTTGCAACAGCTGTATATTGCTGAAGTTTTATTTTGTACCAATGTATCTAGTGTTATAATAGTTTTCTCGTTAAAATAATGGTTTTACTTGAAACATCTTAGGACATCAAATTAAATCTAGACATTGATAACATAATCACAAGTTGAGCTCATTTTTTACGTCCTCTTGTACATATTTTCAAAATTCTATGAGCATAAGTGTAAAATATAGGCATTTTTTGTGTTTCAGTATGACATGATTCCTGGTGTGATGGCAGAAGAACAGAAAAAGGATTCCAATAAGTAGATGTTTCTAAATTTCCTTGTTCGTTCCTCTTTACCAATACATCTAAAAAAGACAAACTAATTTTTTTTTAGTTTCATAGGTAAATTGTATCCAAGGTTATATGCTATTCAAATAACTTGGAAACTGTTAATTTCTTATTACCACCAAAAATATGTGATCTACATGCCTTATCCAAATATCAGATTTACATTTTGCACCATTTATGGCTTTTGTTTCAAATGCATCCACACATATGTCATATAACAACAACGAAAGTGGGGATCCCATTGCTAACCCTTCATTGTGTTTATAAAAATGGATTCTTTACATACACCTTTGTTAGATTAATTATATCTATAATTTCAACAGTTGAAGTTTTATTTTGTAACAATGTATCTAGTGTTATAATATTTGTCTCGTTAAAATGATGGTTTTACTTGTAACATTTAGGGCATATAGTTAAATCTAGACATTAATGACGTTATTACAAGTTGAGACACGCTAGATAAGCTCATGATCCTATTGAGCCATTCGCCTATAGTAACATTATCCGCCTTTGTTTGTTTGTTTTTGAATTTCGCGCAAAGCCACATGAAGGCTATCTGCGCTAGCTGCCCATAATTTAGCAGTGTAAGACTAGAGGGAAGGCAGCTAGTTATCACCACCCACCGCCAACTCTTGGGCTACTCTTTTACCAACGAATAGTGGGATTGACCGTCACATTATAACGCCCCCACGGCTGAAATGGCGAGCATGTTTGGTGAAACGGGGATTCGAACCTGCGACCCTCAGATTGCGAGTCGAGCGCCTTATCCACCTGGCCATGTCGGGCAAAACACATGTAATACAGTTAAATATATAAATGAAAACTATAAACATAAATTGAAAAAAGTTGAAATCTGTATGCAATCCTATGGAAGTATAGTAATACCATCCTCCTTTGTAAAACACTCAAATAAACCTAATAAGACCATCTGCCTATACAAATACTATCTTTATTAACACAATCCATCTACAGAAACATTGCCCTTTGTAACACCGTCCATCTCTAGAACCTTGGTAACAGTATCTGCCTGTCACCCCCTGCCTATGAGAACAGTTCCCTCTGGTGCCACTTCGTGGATGTCATCGTCCTCTGGTGCCTATTATGTAACCCTCAGATGGCGACATAATTTTCATATTAAGTAATAGTTATGTAACTCAGGCGGCATCCTTCGATCTCCTCTCACCTGTGTATCTACCTCATTGATCCACAAGAAGTTTCTTGGTGTTGATGAAAGAACCATCATCAGTTGAGGAACTACTGAAAAATCTACACCAGCTTGATTTGTCAAGAAGAATTAATTAATCTGGTAGTTACATTATACATTTTTAAAAGTGAGCCAAAATTACATCACAGGTGGTATTAGAGCCGTCTTTTGACTCTAACTCTAGTGACTCTTCATCTGGTTTGTCGTGGACTGACAGATAAGTATCATCAGCTCTTTCTTCCTTGTTGGTAGAATCAATATGGTTTCCACATCCTCCTTTGACTCACTGGTTTCATGTATTAGATGTTCACTTGTGACATATGAATGCAACTTACCAATGTGCTCCATGTATTTTTGTGCACATTGCATCTTCTGTAACTGGTACATAAAGCAATTTTCTGGAGTGTATAGTTCAAACCAGTCCAACTAAATAGAAGTTACTGCTGTGCTTATGGAACGTGCCATAATTGTGCCCAATCTCTACACTGGAATATTCGTTTTTTCATTGCTTCATCATAGCACTTATTCTTTCTTTGAGCAGCCTTTTCTAGTTGTCGTATATTGACTATTCCAGACATTAGCCACTCTACATTAAGGTTGTGGGTCGTGTTCTTATGGAGATGGACCATACATCATATCAAAAGGGAATAATATTTTCCACCCAAACATAAGAATGTTCATCAAACAGCCTGTAGATTCGTCAGTTGTTCTGTTTGCCATCATCACAAATAGTAAGTGTTCATCTTACTTTGTTCACACAGGATTAACAAATTTCACAAGAATGCATTTTGTAGCCTTCTGTATCCAATCTATCAGACAGGAGGTGAAAGGTGAAGTACGCATCTTCACCATATTTAACACCTTACGCAACTTGGCAAACTGTTGTTGTATAGACATTAAAAGAAGTTGTAGGAGAGAAAATGGTTTACTTTTTAAGAAAAGTTATAGTTATCTATGTTATAGTTGACAAAGTGAAGAAATTCATAAGTTCAAAAAATATAACATTATTTGTTTTAAAAATTAGTGTGTGATTGGATTCTAAAATATCAGCTGTATGGCTATAAATGTGTGAGCATGTAACCAAGTAAAATATGTGTAACTTGTTTTAATATAATGGAACTTTGTCTAGAATTTACATAGTAAGCTTTCTGTCTTGAATAAAAATTTTCTTTTGTAATGAAAGTTTAGTTAACTTTAGTTTTGAACAGGTAGTTTGACTTTATTTACAGAGAATGTGGTTCATTAAACTATCATTTTGATGCAGTAAGTATATTTTGTTTTCACAGTATTTCTACTCTTTAATTTATAGTTAAAATATACTAATATCAAAATATTAAGTTCAGGTCTCAGTCACAGAAAATTGTTTTTCTTCTTGAGTATGTTATAGTTAAGGCACTGAATACTTGTGGACAGTATGGGAGGATTTGTCAATCAAAAGAACTAAATGCACAGATATTTCAAAGGTATTGAACCAAGACATGCTCTTTCATTCATATTCTCTTAAAAAAACGTTTATTTTTAAAGTGCACATGGAAAAAATATATACATGTAAAACTTTTAAAAAGCATTAGTCAGACATTAACAATGACTTCAAAGTATCACATGTGCCAATGAGTCTGGGAAAGTGACATTCTATGTTTTGTACTTTCTGTTATTTTGAAAATCTTGAAACAAAACAATAACTAAAATGGAAGAGAAAAATTAATATTTGAACTTGAATAGGTGATTAAGAAAATGACACAAATATAACTTTACAGAAATTTATAATGAGTTGAAAAAATGAAGCTGAAGAAACAAGCACTTCCTTATTTGGTTAGATCCACAGGTATAAACAAAATTGGAACACAGCTCAAAAACTAATGGCCAATACATTTAAAGGCTGCAAAAATTTCCCATTACTTGTTAAATAAAGTCCTTAATTCAGGATTTCATATTGCTTTCCAAGACTTTATCAATGAAAATCATTTTATTGCATTATATAAATAAACATAAAAATACATGTTATGGTTTACTAAAACATAGTATGAAAGGATGATTGTCTGAAAATTGAAATGATCAGTAAAATGACAGGTTTTACTTTTCTGGAACACAAAATAATTATACATATATATAAAGACAGACAAAACAAGAGGAATCTATTACAATTCATATTATTTTCATCTGAGTGTTTTCTTTTCTAAACAGGTCATTAATTGGATAGTTAATACTGGATCATACTGACATTTATAGGGGGAAAATAAACTGCTAGGCATGGCAACATTTTTGACACACATCACATCGAAGCCTCCAGAACAAAATCACTTTGACCTGTAATATTTTAAACTTCCCTTTGTACATTTAAGTATTTACTCTAATTTTACAGATGTAATAGACTATAAAATCATGTAATCTGTATTTGTTAAGAATTTTTAAAATTTGATACATATATATAAATATTAACACCAGCTTTAAAAGTTTTGATCAAAACTTAACTTTTTTGAGCCTTAAAAATTATTTAAACATCAATGTGGATGTACATATGATTTTTTCATCTCTTACAAAACCTGAAGTTAATAAAGATGACAGGTGTACACAAATTTCTTGAACTAAGGTCTCCACTTTGTTTAGGCCCATGTTTTACAGTCTCTCCAGTAAAGAACAAAAAAGCATTCCAACATCCAGAACAGTGTATATTGGATTCAAACGCATTAATAAGTCATGAAAGAGTAGCAGTGAACTTGAGCCAAACAACTAAGGAGAAGAAAAAACAGACACCTAGGTAATTGTTTCTGCTGTTGTTACACTGGTGTTCCTTCCCACTCAATGAGATACTGCACAATGCCCTGGGATGTTACTCGCCGTGCCAGCACACGGAACTTCTCGCCTTTAATAATACGACTGGATGATCCAAGGTAATTGCTGACCATAGAGTGCTGGTCTCCAGTACAGAGATCTGAGTTCTTAGAAATGCTGACTAGTGAACTGTCAAAGACATTATCAAACTCCATTGTTGTATTTTTAAGACTATACAGCTGTCCATTCAGCCATGTTTTTTTGGTATCATTCACTTTCTTAACTTTTTTTTTAACTTCTCTATTTTTAAAGACCTGAATATCATCTTCACTGAGCTGATGTTTAATTGGTCTTATTGGTGGGATGTTTTTGGCTGGTTTATCTAAGTCCATGAAAGGATGATTGACTCCTTCAAAGTTGATGGGTGGAGGGATGATAGTGTCCAGTGTAGTGAAAGATGACATATCATCACCATCTAGCACTTCCTGCTTGATGGTTGAGCTCTGACCAGTACTTTTAATGCTGCTCCTAGAACTGTTTGTACCATTAGTCCGCTATTAAAAAATTAATAACAAAGAAATAGGTTATGAATTTGGGTTTCAGTTGATACTTAAAAATACACGTAACTTTAAAATCCACTATTATCCCAAATATCTTTTACTGTGTTGTGATTGTTCAGCTAAAATTATGGTATAAAGTTACATATTTAACTGTACTATTTAGAAAATAAGTGAATAATTCCTAATCATACATCATTCTTAGAGCACTAGCTTCTAATGCTAATTAAATTAAATTTGGTTATATATATATCATGATAAAATACATAATTTGGACAAAAAAACTCAGTATTCAACATCAGTTCAGAAAGCACCAGTTTACAATTGGCTGAAAAAGTTAAATTATATAAAACTTTAAATTTCAAAGTAATTTATAACTTTCAATATTAATGGGAACGTGGTCTAAATACTCCTTCTTTTCAAAACCTTCTAGCCTCAAACAATGGCTCAAAAATGTTATGTACAAGTTAAAGATTTTAGCCAGATAACAAATGAAAATTGTATAATAATTCCATATAAGCCTTAGGGTTAATAAACAGGAATGTTTCTTAATCTTTAAATTTCATTTGGCAATATAGGGTGAACATCATAAATAACAGTTCAAAACATTTTAGTTACAAAAACTGTTTCCTGTAATATGTATAGTAGTGACATTGAATTTAATCTTTTAGATAACAAGGCAAAGTAATAGATAGGTTAGAATTTTCATGATAAAGCAACTCATAATAGATGTTAAATGTGAAGAATTTGATATAAAAGTGTCCAGGATTTTTAGTTAAAAATACAGATAATCATTTTGTTAATTCAAATTAAAGACTTGGATAAATACCTTCTTATTATGAGCTTCCATTGAACATCTAGTAGTTTTATGTCCATTTGATGAAGTAGAAGAATCATAAGGAGAATCGTTGGTTTTAAACTTTTTTCTTATACGAAAAAGAGCATAGCTGAAATATATCACAATTATGTTAAACATTAACATAAAATATATTTTAATTTGCACATAGCAATGATAAACAGCAATAAAGGAGAAAAAGCTAAACACTTACATTAGTCCAAAAGAGCAATTAGTTGTATAATATTTACTTAACATATTATTTGAAGAGCTAAGAACAAGAAATATGCTTATGACTTTTTTGGAGAAAACAGCAAGTATTCTGAGAATGCATTTGAATGAACAAAAACCTTATTTTTCAGAAGTTAGTAGATTTGTTATCAAGCAGTACCTACATGTATCTTCTGGGCACAATGAATGTAAAATACTTTTAAGTATAACATTCTTATGCCAGTTATGCTACCTTACCAATAGTTCAATACAGTTTAAGTTATATCTTTCAAAGGTATGATTTTTAGTCAGCTTAGATTTTTTTAACATGTACTTTGAATATATACCTCTTAAACAGTGTACATGATACAAATGCACATGTAACATGGATGTTATTTCAATAGGCAGTGTTTCTGGTACAATTCTAAGGTAACACGTATTTTAGAAGGAAATTTGAACTAATTTGATGTAAAAATTTATTTTGGAAATAATTTTCAAAACTAGTGTCTGCTGCTCTTCAAATAACTTTGATGATGCAACTTTCTAAAAACAATTCTCAAAAATACAACTTACCTTAATACTATTGCCTTACCTAAAATATAAAAGTTTGAAACAAGTAATTATGATATGACTAGTGTATATCCAGTCAAAAATGATGGGGTAAGCACTACCACCCCCACCTTATAACATACCCTAACCTCAAATTTCATAGCTTACTCAAATAAATGAATTTTGTGAAACCAAGCTTGACCAACAAAGAAAAGAGCAATTGAGGCAGTCAAATGTAAGTAAATTCCTTTGTGAGGCAATCACAATTAAGATAATTCATGAAATGAATTTATGGTGTATTCATAGAATAATTATTGGTAAAAATCAGTTAGATCAACAACTTCTAATATATAGAAAAGCCAGTGAGTTTGGGTGACACTATGTTCCAACAATGGCTTTCATGTCATGTTGCTTTGTTATTAGTCTATATACTGAAAGTATAAAATGAAATTTGTAGACAACAAAACTCGAAAAATATTTGTTGATTTCTTAATTTAGTCTTTGTTCATTAAAGAGGTTATTTTATTAAAACGTTGGTGATATAACAGAAAATAGTTTAATTCAGTTAAAAATTATATTGATATTTTTACTTTCATGATAAATTTTATGCACTTGGCTCTAGGCTAAGTGATCCCACACTATGTCTTTACTTTAGGCTTATACCAACACTCATTACACTTGTAAGGTTTCTTGAAAGCACCCAACACTTAAAAAAAGAAGAAGTAGATTTCTCTCATAAATACTGACAATGTAAATGATGACACATAAAATAATTGACTTCTCAGCTATATTTATTTACAGGATCTTGTATAATTCAAAAGCATTATTTTTGGTTAACCTAGAATATAATAAAAATCAAACACTCCAATAATTAGGAAAATTCAATATTGTGCTTAGTTACTTTTATCTTTACATTACGTAGCTAAATGTCGACTTTAAAGAAGCAATGACACTGCTAATACATTCACCACATAATCAAGTATACAGTCAACTACTACTACAAACTACAAGGCTTTTGAGAGAATCTAAGTCTTATATCATATAAATAAACTAACAATTACAAAACAAAGATTTTGGTTGTTATTCTACAACTTAACTATTAATTAAAAATACTATTGTATACCTTACAATGATTTGGAGTATTTCCTTTTTTTAAGTTTTCCAGAATCATGGTTCTCAATCTATAGACTGTGAAATTTACATTTCCATAGTAATAAACTAATATCATGTGTGGCTGTTAGTGAAAGTAAATGGAACAAACTGTCATAAGTCTTGATATCAGAAAATAGTTTGGACACCTTCATGCAATCTCTTTGATCTCACGTGAGAATGAAGAGAATGCACAAATCCGTTGAAACGTTTCTAAATTATCAAGACTTCTGTTCCATTTACTGCATTTTTTCACTAATCATATTTACATATTATGGTTAAAAAAGAAAGAAATGGTGCTAAATTAAATGAAAATAATGTTTTATTTATAAAATTTCATTAACTTACAAGTATGATGGTCTGTGAAATTGTCTTTGGTTTGTAAAGAAGCACAGAAGAAAAAAGAAATAAACCACTGCTTTAGAAGATGTTAAAATGCTTCTTTTGAGAACTCAGCACATTCACTTGTGACTCTGCCTTAAATTATGTCAAATTGGTGTACCTCCTACCTGGCTAAGGCTAAATTTAGGTTCACATTCTTAGAATTCCCACCAATTATAAGTTTGGAGAACAGTTGTCCTAGAAATGTACATCTGATAAAACATTATTCAAGAAAGTGACAAAGTACCTTTAACTATAACCGTATTATTTAAATACGGGTAGTACGTGGTATCTTCTTTTATACATTTTTGTATGCACATATCTAGAACAATAGTTTGCAGTCATTCAATCTCTGATGAATAGGTTGATGTGTGGAATTTCTACTAATAGTAACCTAAACTGAGACAGGTGAGATAGTGGGAAGGGAAGGAAGAATATTAAGTTGTTCAAAAGAAATGAATGTTGTGTTAAACATAGCCTGAGGCATATAGACCCAATGCACGTGATGGCACGCATACATTACTGGCAAGCCAAAAAGTAAACACCACCATTTTGGACAGAGATAATCTAGTAATCACAATGTAGTTGCTGGTACTGGAACTTGGGATCAAGTATTTGAAATGACAATCGGCTATGTAGCAGTTAGCTGTACAAACAACCAGACAAAGAATCCAGAGTCATCATTTGATAGGTTTCCAAAAGATCCAGTATGTAGAGTTAAATAGACTGCAGCAGTAAAACGTGCAGACCTGAATGACATTGATAAGGCTTGGAAATCATCATCATACCATCGACTGCAATTTTCATTTTATATTGGTTATTACTAATTGTATATACAATTTACCTTGTCACAATAATATTGCAAAGATCTCTACAAATCTGTAGCTTGTAAGTATCTGGTGCTTCCCATAATCTAAATAATAGGCCCATACAAACAGTGAAGGGTAGAAGGGCCCAGCGGGCAACAATAAAATTTTATCAAAAATGTGGCTTGTCAAGACAGGTGGTCTTAAAATCCAGGTCTTATTGTGTAAAATTTATGGTAAATTGTACTGAAGAAACTTGTCTTACAAGACAGGAGAACTTAAAATTAAATACAATACGATGTAGTACATGTAGATTGTAAATTTACCACTGACAGAACATAAACAATAATCCTAGTCACTAAAAACAACTTCGACTTACCCTCGAGTAAGCTATTTAGTAAGATGTCTTGTACACTTTCCACAGTCTGACATTGTGCACCTTGCCAACCATAAAACACTTGTAAAGCATCAAGGCTTTTATAGGCCTTGAACTGCTTTCTGGTGAAAAAAAGATGTTGTCAGGACTAAATAATTTATGATATCTACATTGGTTTGTAGGCCTAACTCTGGTCCTGTGTTTGCAATGTCAACTCATTTACTGGCATCTAGCATGACTATCATTCCTGACAGGATAGAATAAGGATCTGTCGTGTCAAGAACAACTTTTTTTGCACTTTTATTCATACCTTGTCTAATTTGCTAGTAAGTTCATGAAAAATGAACGGAGAACTAGGTGACTGTGTAGCGAAAACCACGTGACTGCATAAACTCTATAGGTACAAAATAATTAAAATTTGTTAATTTAAAAAAGGGAATAGGGATCATAAAAAAATACAGATAAAAGTTGTATAAAAATGTAAAGATTATATTTTTAATCCCACAACTAGGGACTCTTAAAAGAAAAAAGTAAATAAACTAGGCTGGAAACAGTGTCTACAATAGAGATTCCCTAGTTGTAGGTTTGAAAATATAATCTTTGCATTTTGATCCAACTTGTTTCTACACTTTTTTGATGATCCCTATTCCCCCTTTAAAATTAACAATATATAATTATCTTGTTTATTAAGTGTTTTATGTTCATTTATTGAGAATAAATTAAGCTACATACATTCTGTTGAATGTTACACGTTTTTCAACAGTTTACTTCTGCATTGGCTTTTTTTCTACTTAACCATTACTTACTAAGCTAGGTGGTTTTGTACCCGAGGTTTCACGTGAACACACATTTAAAAAGTGTTGAGTACAAAGGAAGCCACTCACAACAACACTGCATACATTATGTATTTATAGCCATGTAAATGAACTTTAAATGAAAAATAATCAACTTTTTAAATAGGTCATGGACATTTGAAGCATCTCATATAGTATATCTGTCTAGGTTTTGGTGCAAAATACTTAGCTGATTTTGCTGTACACTTGTGAAAAAAAAAAGAAAGAATAATAACCCTCAAATATGCACTCACAATTTCAGCGAAGTACAAAAATCAGTAGAATAAATAACCACTCACAAAAGTAGAGAAATCTATTATGGTAATTGTCCACTGTTAGAAAACTCACTGAAATAGTCGCAGAAAACCATGTAGAGACAAAGTATAGCAGAGAACTTGAGAAATGATGAATACTCAACGTGGCAGTTTCCAATTAATGCGCCAAAAGTACCATTCATTATTTTCCAATTAATGTGCATGAGTAAAACAATACTAGATTTTTTGTATGGCCAAAAATTAAGGACTTAAAGAAATTCTTCAGGGCAAAAAAATGAAGGTGCTTAAATTAATTTTAAAACTACCCTCTGACATACTCAATACTGCATTCATTACTATTGTCCAGGTTTTAGTAAAATATTCATAGCCTTTTTACTGTGGCAGCTTGTAAAACTATAATCAGTAATAATAAGTCTGGAGAGTGTTATAAATATACACATTGTTTACTCTAACAAAACAAATCCTTTCAGAGTAGGATAAAATAAAGCATTTCCGACTAGTATAACGGTGCTTAACTGGCTTCTACATTTATGCTATGCTTGCATGGCTTCAGAGAGAGATTATTTTGGTAGCGAAGAAGAACTTGGAAAATTTTAGAGGGTGGAAATCTCTATTTTCAAGAATGAACTAAAAATAGCCCTACCACCTTGGCAGGAGTTTGTTTAGTAGCTGTGCACAGATTTTGGCACAGTATACCTGGCTGTTTTTGCTGTAGGCTTTGAAGAGAAATTTGGCAAATTTGATAAAATTTCTCCTTCTGTTTCCTATAATCCATGCAGGAGTTTTTTGTTTTTTTTTGTAGGTTTGCCCAGGTTTGAATAAATAATGAATAATAATATGAAGAACAATTAGATGAATATTTTTGTCTAACAATGTGAAAAATCAACTTTTTTGCTATTATCAATATTTTAGCAGCTTTAGCCATTGAGACAGAAGGTCTTGAGTGTTGTTTCAAGAACAAGTCTGTATTTTAGGATGGTTTTTGTTCTTATATTCTATTAGAATTTTTTGTGAAATTTCTGGGCGATTCCTATTATGAACCACTATCGTGGTTTATGAGAAGTGATTATATAGGGTTCTCCAAATTATCACACAATAAGACTAAGGTAATCTTTTCTAACTATTTCATAACTCTTAAGCTAAGCACTTATGAAAGATATTCTACACTTCTACGAGTTTTTAGAAAAAAATGCCATTGTTTCAGTTGTTTTGTCTTTAACTGTGGTACATCTACCATTTGTTAGCTAGAATATTAACTCGATTGTGATTAAAAGAACTTTTTATTTATCGAAAAAAAAAACTATATTTATTAGATAGAAATTAATCTTGACCAAAAATAGTTTTGGAAAAAAATTCAAGATAGAATATCTGATGAAAGTAACTATAATGTCATTTTGAAAGGTGAGGTCCTAGGTCACCAATAAATCCTTGGCAGTTTTTTTTGTTTTGTTTTTTTAATAAATGATTCAATTGGCACAATAGTTTTTCAACTGAAATATATGATTGGACACTGAACAAGCTAAAACTGACTGGATATATAAAATGGAACTTTCTGATCAATAGTAATAAAAATTAAATTCCAAGACAAAGGGAAGTATTTTTAACATTTTTTCAAAACATTGTTTCACAACAATTCTGGAAAATTCCATAAGTTAAAAAATCATATAAATATTAAATCAAATTACATGATTTTTTAAAGCAGGAATGAGATAAAATTCAGAACTTTTATACTTAGTATTTCCACCAGTGTGATAAGGAACAAAATCAGGAGATATCAATGATGCCTCTACGGTACAGAAAACGTTAACTCAACAAATCTAACATACCTTTTCCGAGTCTGTTGCATCCTTGTGCTATTCATATGACATACCTATTTTACAAACATTCTTTCTCTGTTTGTACAGAAGGTTGAAAGTATAAATCATTCTAGAATAGTTTTATATGTTCTTTGTATGAAATGTTTATGATGGAACCATTTCAAATTAATTTTATAATTTGCTTTATTTTAATTACAAACATATATAGGGTTATATTTCAGCTGCTAACACACAAATATGAATTATGTTCAGTGAATTATTACAAACACTCAATGATTGTGTCACTGCAGCACACGGTTAATCATATATAAAGCCAACTTCATGAAAAAATAAACAGAGAAAGAAAATCTTGTGTCTTTGTTTCATTTTTTTACAAAACTGCCACCTTTTATATTAAACACAATATAAATTACATGTGTTGTAATAATGGCTGATTCTGTTGGCAGGTACACAGAAGTTAGGGGTGAATCGACACATTTAAATAAATCATACCATACTGTTAAAAGACTTACTCTTTTTCTTTTTTAGGTCTTCCTTTTGTATCACTAGCAGACTTCTCATTGATTGGTCCAATAGCAGGTAGGATGACTGAGGGAGCTGGAGGAGGGATGCGAACCCTCAAGCCCCAGAGAGTAGTCTTCTTCTTTATCTCTTTACCACATTTAAATCTTCAGAGCAGGAAAGAAAAAAATGCTAATACTACATACTACTATAAAAAAAAGCAATGTTTACATCACATCCTAAAAGCCCACATTGCTAAAAAAGTTTTTCAAAATTATATAAACTGAATCATTCACCCTCCTTAATGCATTTCTCCATTTTTGGAGTAATTTACCATTAAACGTTTTTATCCATCTTGTCACTAAAAATAATTTAAATGATGTTGATTAGATCCATGAATCAGTCTACCAAACAAGAAAAAAGAAATAGAAGGACATTGACTACAGTACGTTCTATAGGAAGTGTTTTAGTTTCAACACAATCCAAGTATCTACATAGTATCCAAGTAATCAGCTTATTCTTTGCTCTGAAATCAAATCATTATATACTATTTCCAGAGGCCACTTTTATCTCTACGCATTTCTAACATTTTTTTTCTTGATTAAGAGTTTGTTTGTCATCTCATTTACTGAATAAATTTCTGAAGGATGAAACTTGTTAAATGTAAGTCGGAGATCCTTTAGGTAGTTTTGCTAATACAATGTGGAAAGCCATACTGGTAGTTCACGAAAACATTTAAAGTGATTATATATTCAAAATTACATGATGCAACCAATCACTGGAAGTGAAGTTCTCAGTCACCATTCATTCCATTGTCACTACATAATGTGAGGGAGGTCATCAATTTAACCCTTTTGCAACAGATAAGTCTAAACTCTGCATGTCAGTCTTTTAGTGATTTATTTTCAAAACTTTATTATACATATATATCAATGAAATTGGAATCAAAACGTTGCCTATATTTCAAATTTTAATATTATATATGTTTTAATTTCTTAATTCAAAAGAAAATAGCACCTCTTCATGTCTTGTTGTTCAGTTTATATTATTTCATGCCTACTATATACATCTACAAGTGGTTAACGAATTAGAAACACTAATTTTAGAGACTGGGAAACTAGAATATAAATTTAGAACCTCCCACCACTTTGATTTGCTGAGAAATCTATGCATCTAGTAAATCAACTAGTGGCACCTCCTCCTACTCCATTCTTTCCAAACCTCTTGTTTAGTTCCACCTACTTTTCTTAAGGGTCTGTTTATAACCAATAGAAAGGGAAAGTTGTGCTTTACATGATGCTGACAGTTGTTTGTAAAGAGCTTGAAAGGGAAAATAATAATTTTGCTAAGAATTTTGATGACCAAGTTGTTGCTCTGAAGGGAGATAAAAATTTTGTTTAACACATATATATTTTATTTATAAACCGAAGCAAGTTACAAATGTTTTGGGTGTACTAGGAGTAATGTTGTATATATTTTTCTTTCTAAAATGTATATTTGAAGCCTACAAAAATTATATTTCTTCACCCTCCACTCAAAAACATAAACTAGGCTTAGCACTAAAGGCACACGAGGGAAAATATTTTCCTATCACCGTAATTTCTCATAATTACTAGAAATCGTTGTTTTTCTATACAGTTTTCATTTATTGTTCATGTTTTAACAAAAATAACTAAAATTTAAGCATTTATGAGTATGTATATATGTAATGCTAGCCAAAATATAAGTGTAGTTTGCAAAATATTGGTAATACAGCTATATTTGTACTTTGTATTTGATTCTGTGTATATATATATTATAAATGATTATTACTTACTTCAAGAAACAATTCAAGGTGTTTCACAAGTTTTATGGAACTTATAAACTACACTTACAGCTGCAAAAGTAAGAATGTTTTCACAACTGTAACTTTAGCTGCAAAAGTAAGAATGTTTCCCAAAGACTAGATTTATAAGGCTTGCAAAACTAAATGAGTGTGATAAGTAGTACCACAACTAAATGAGTGTGATAAGTAGTACCAAAACTAAATGAGTGTGATAAGCAGTACCAAAACTAAATGAGTGTGATAAGTAGTACCAAAACTAAATGAGTGTGATAAGTAGTACCAAAACTAAATGAGTGTGATAAGCAGTACCAAAACTAAATGAGTGTGATAAGTAGTACCAAAACTAAATGAGTGTGATAAGTAGTACCAAAACTAAATGAGTGTGATAAGTAGTACCAAAACTAAATGAGTGTGATAAGTAGTACCAAAACTAAATGAGTGTGATAAGTAGTACCAAAACTAAATGAGTGTAATAAGTAATAC